TGAAGTATTTTAAAATTTACTGAGATTGTTTTAGGTCTCAGGAGATGATCCTTGTTGGTGACTGGACTGTGGAAAGGAAAATATAAGTATCCTGTATCTGTTTCATGAATGAGTTGGTAGATGGCAACCATTGGTTGATCGTGACAGTAATAATTTTTATATCTGTATTCATTTTCATTTTCTCACAGAATTATCTGGGTGTTAACACTTCCAATGGTCATTGTGATTTTGTCTATTTTTTCCATTCGGTGTTGTCAATTTTTCATTAGAAATGTCTGCTGATTTAAGTGATTTGGACTTTGTGGAATGTCTTCCCTCTTGGAATATCCAGTTTAGTTTTCTGTGTCCTCTTTGACACCATCTGCCCGTTATACTTTTTAATTTTTTTCTGGTTCCTTTCATAGTGGAAGCTTCCCCCCCAAGTGTGTGACCCTTCATATTTAAAGAAAAGGCACAGGAAGGTAGACCGAAGTGTGCCTGCATGGGTGGGGTTTCCTTGTAGCCTATCGAGAGGCTAGTGCTAACCAGCTGTGTCAGCACTTGCAGCAGAATATGTTCTTTTGGTTCATGGTTGAAATTCTTTACTCTTCATGAGAACCTGGTGTTCACTAAGGGGTCAGGCCCCTTAGGCAGGGAGAACTTTTACAAAGCTCCATTGTCCAGCATAACATTCGCCCAGAATTTGCCATTGAACCTTACAAGCCTAATTTGAATTGTTCCCTGGACCTGTTTTCTCTCAGTGGCCACCACAGCTAGGCTGGCTGAGTTAACCTCTGATCCTGATTCCAATTGGTTCTTACCATTGTAGAAAAATCTTTTTACTCTCACCATTCACCTGCAAATCATTATGCCAAAACTCCCCAGTCTTTCCAGATTTTTGTTTTGGAAGTTAACTTGTTTTTTTTTTTTTTTCACTCCTTTTAGGCAAGTGTTTCTCAACCTGTGGGTCATGATCCCTTTGGGAATTGATGACTCTTTCACATGGGCCACCTAAGACCATTGAAAAACACAGATGTTTACATTCTGATTCATAACAGTAGCAAAATTACAATTATGAAGAAGCAATGAAAATAATTTAAATGGTTGGGGGTCACCCCAACATGAGGAGCTGTATTAAAGGTCATAACATTAGGAGATTGAGAACCACTGTTCTAGGATAACACTGATAATCCCATCTGCCCAGTTCAGATAACCCCACACTCAGCAAGGCTACATGTCTTAACTTTCAGTGTTTTCTCTGAGTTGTTTATGCCCTTTGTATGCACATGCCATGTTGTTTAATTGCCTTTTGGCTTTGCCTGACTTTTACAAACATTTGCAATTTTGATGTAATGAATCTATCAATCTTTCCCTTTATGATTTATGCTTTCATCTCGATTAAGAGCACCTTCTCTATCCCAAAGTCATAAAAATTATTAGATGAGAATACAGGACTCAATTCTGACTTTGCTTGCAGCTATTTGATTTATATAGAACATATTTTGTTATGACTTGAGGGGGAGACATAATTACAGGTTTTTTTCTTTTTCTAGCCAGAGAGCCAGTTTCCCTAGAAATATTCAATGTATCACCAGCCATTCCCTGAGGATGCTACTACCTCTGTTGTCTTCGTCTAACCCCCCAACGTGTGGTCACTGTTGACCTCTTAGAAGGCAAGATCCCCACATGGACCAAGTACATGTCTTCAAGTCCCTACCAGAACATCTCAGCAAAGTCTTCCTGGGCCACACCTCCCCATGACTTTGCTCCCTCCAACCTGTGCAGTGACAGACAGGAAATAACCTACAAATCTGTAATCTTGTATACTTCTTTTTAAGAGATAGTTTTGTACAAGTATAGATGATATGGATGGAGGAACAAACAAACATGGGCACATTTAATGTGTACATCTGGATATACTTGAAGATATGCATACATTTCAGAAACCATGACCACAATAAAGTTAATAAACATAGCAGTGCCTCCCAAACTTGCTCATCCCCTCCTTTTGTGGTAAGAATATTTAACGTGAGACCCATTCTTTATCCAATTTTAGTGTGCAGTATGTTACTGCTGACCAGAGGCATGGTGTTGTAAAGCACATCTCTATAGTTATTTAACTAGTACAACCAAAGCTTTGTGCACATTGATGTGTTTATTGTCCATAAATTTCGTCCCATGTTTTCAACTGTAGCGGCATTTCTTCATTATGGCCATAGTACTTTCTTGTGAGGACTTGTGACATGTGTTTTTTATCCAGTGATGTTTGTCTAGGTTGCATCTTATTTTTTTTAAATCTTGGCTGTTGTGAACAATTCTACAACAAAATAGAAATGCAGACAGCTCTTCAAGGTTCCCCCTCAGCACTTCCAGATAGGCAGAGAGGAGTTGGCCTGCTGCCTCTAATGGTATTTCTTCAGAGATTTTGGAGAGACTCTACTATCTTTTATAGTGATTATACCATTTGATACTCCTATCAACAGATCAAGTTCCCAGCTGACCCACCTCCCTTGCTAATTCTTGTGCTTTTATTTTTTTTTCCCTTTTTGGCTAATTTCACAACAATTTGCCTGCTCTTAGCTTTGAGTCACATGGCTTGTGTCTCCTTCATCGTTATCCCTAGAATCTTTTGCCAATAATTGTTCTAGAAATATTTCTTAACTTTGCCCTAAGTGTGATTTCCAAAGTGCTATAGGGGCAATAGTACATGAAACAAGGGAAATTAAACTATGCTTTGAATTCTAAGCTTCACCACCCACTTACAGAGAATGTCACAACATTGACTTGCATATTTGCTTTCATTTAAGTTGACAATCTGTAAACTTCAAATATTAAAAGGCTGATATGCTTAGCTGGAACATGATTACTGAGGCTCAAATAATAGATATATAAGTATAATGTGAATCATATATAGTATAGGCTATCTTTAAAACTTATCTATGTTTACACATATGATAACAACTATATCTGGTAATGAGTTAAGTTTGACTTTTTTATATTAATCAGAATGAATTAGATTGCTTATACATGTAATGTAGTTATCTCCTCTCCCCCACCCCCAACCTTTCCCTGTAGGAAGAAAAGTCTTCTCTCAACTAAGTTGGTGACATATTTTCTGGTCTCAGGAAATTTTTGAAGTCACCTTTAAAGGAGCTTCTTAAACTATTTACTGTCTTCCTCACCCTAAATATCTTAGTGAGTGATATATTAAAATAGAGATACGAAAAAGTAATGAGAAACTAACTTAGATTACCTGGTGATTTGTACACTTCCATGTCTGTCTGTCTCACTTGCTCCAATGTTTCCAGCATCTACAACAGCACCTAGCAACAAGGACATCCAGCATGCAATAAGGGCTATGACAGTGCTGCATGATGACTGGAGGAGGCAGATTCAGACTCTGTGTGGATATGTGGTCCAAAAGAAATCTCTAGAGTTCACAGATGCCATAATCAGATGAAGCTGAATTCCATTGTCCTATGGAGGCTAGATGTCAAGTGACATTTTTAAAATGGAAAATGAGATAATATTTGAAAAGATCAAAACATTCTAGCATGCTGCCCGTCACTGAATTTTCAGCTAGAGATCCAATAAAACCACTAAGCAGAGAGCAGAAGAACTGTACTTCCCAGTCCCTGCTTTAGTCACAAATATGTCACCGTAAGATCTAGTCAAGGTGTTAGAAGTATCTACTGTAAGAATGAAATACAGGGCCGGGCGTTGGTGGCGCACGCCTTTAATCCTAGCACCCGGGAGGCAGAGGCAGGCGGATCTCTGTGAGTTCGAGGCCAGCCTGGTCTACAAAGTGAGTTCCAGGACAGCCTCCAAAGCTACAGAGAAACCCTGTCTCAAAAAAAAAAAAAACCAAAAAACAAAAAAGAATGAAATACAGTTTTTCCTATGCTATTCAGTAGTCATAAATTATAAGAAAATACTCTTATAGTAACAGACACTGGAAATAGTAAACACGGGGATGTTGATCAGCAATTCAGTAGACAAGTTCCTGGCAAGTACTTCCAGTGTGTGTTACAAAACTCAAAGCTCAGGTCTCCAGCTAAGGAGTTGGCATGAATAGGCACCAGGACCTGGCCCTTTCTGCTCAGCATGATGCTCTAGTCCGTGGGCAGACTCTAGTATGGATCTTACTACAAAGCGCATCTTGCCTGCCACCATTTTACACAAGAGACAATGTTAGAAATTGCTTGTTTTTCGTTTGACTCTTTCTCTGTCTCTCTGTCTCTGTCTCTGTCTCTGTCTCTGTCTCTGTCTCTCTCTCTCTCTGTCTCTCTCTCTCTCTCTCTGTGTGTGTGTGTGTGTGTGTCTGAGGCATGGTTTTATGGTTTTATGCAATCCAGGCTGGCCTTGAACTTGCCATATAGTCAAGGATGACCTTGAGATTCTGATTCTCTTGCCTCTGCTGAGATTTTAGGTGTGTACCACCACACTCAGTTTTATACAGTGCTGGGGATTTAGCCTAGGGCTAGGTATGCTTTCTGCCAACTAACTACATCTCCTGGCTTCTTTCTGGTTTTATTTCTTCATGGAAATTCAAATTGCATAAATGCTCCATGAATTTTCCATGTGGTATTTGGTAATAATTAACATCATGGTGTATGGTATACCTATTTATTCGATGGCACTTTATTTTGGTGAACTTATTGTACTATAAGGATTTAAGGTGGATAAATATGTATTTTTAAAGCCTAGATCTAGTAATGAAAGTTCATAGCTCAATTATAAAAGTTCACAGAGTAGAGAATATATCTGGAATGACACAGTGATATGAACACTCAAATTGGCTTACAGTCCAGGCTCACTTCTTATACTAATGAGACCTTTGAATGTCCCTGCCTTATCTGCATTATGGAGTAGGAATACATGCAAATCCTTTTTTTTCCTGGAAAGAGATAATATCATGATGGACAGTGCTGTTGTAAGTATCAGTACTCTTTTGAGGACAATTCTTCTATTCCTATGAATGGAAATGTATCACTGAACTATTCAAAACATTTCACTGTTACTCATATGAATGCTTGCTTTATTGTTGGGATGAGCTATGGATTCCTTGCTATGGATCTGATAGTTCCACTGAAGTCACTGTTCATAGAGCAGGCAGAAGTCAGGGCCTGTGGCCATTTCACGTCACAGTTCACATCTTTCTTCTCTCCTTCTTCATGCTGGTATTCACAAGGGCTTTTCCCCTCTCACACCACATCTCTTCCCTGTATTTGAATTTCTAGGATTACATATAAATAGAGCTAACTAACATTCACCTCAGCACATGGGACCATCCAAAAAATTAGCATCTTAGTACAAAAGGCTTTGAAATAAGGTCAGCCTGATAGCTGAGTAGCAGTTTGGGGATCTCACACCAACTGCAAACATTGAAGCTGTCAGACCTTGATGCATCGCTAATGTATGATAACAGTGTCTGTAGCTTAGAAAACTTTTTTCAAACCTAGGCTTGATTTTTTTGTGTGTGTGGGTTGCAAATATTTCTTCTATGACAAAGCTTTCAAGCCATAATTGAGCTCTCAAGTTCCATTACAGGATATTTTTCTTTTTCACAGAGTCAGAAAAGTCATCCCTTGAAGACACAGCAGTATGATTTGAGATAGATGCAGATGCCAGAAGCATTGAGTGGAGGATGAGTCAAGGTCCGGGCTGCTGGTGTGGGAATGCCTGGCTGGGCTGCTTACTCATGAAGTGCCTGGCTAGAGTACCGAGTCAGGAAGTGCCTGCCGAGAGGCAGTGGCTGGGTGAGGTAGCACTGTACCCTGTGCTCACCGGCCTTGTCCTTCCCATCAATTAGCACAATGGGAAAGTACGTGTAGTGTTCGATGATGTCTTCCACAGAATCAAACATCTGAAATACAGAAAGCAAAGTGAATGCTTTTGAACACATCTGGTGCCTGTAGCGCAGCTCAGCTGTTGTATGCTACCCAGGGAAGGTGAAGGATTTCATAATTTTCACATTGGAGAGAGACATGTTAGAAGGTGATATTGGTTTTGCTCCCTCAGGAGGCTATCATTACAGATGTCAGCCACCATGTCTGGCTGTTTCTTTTTTCTTTATTTCCTCTCTTTTTTTTTTTTTTGAGGATGTAGCAAGCAAGCTATTGAAGCATGAGTGCCAAGCACAAGGAGATGAGAAAGTGCTGTGGACCACAGGTGAGCCTCATGGTAGCTCTTAAGTTTCCTGTCCTCACAATTTGCCCAGACAGATCACCTACCACAGTATCCTCCCAGCTCCATCAGTCTTCCTACCCCCTGACTTGGATGGATTATTTATGATGTCACCACAAATGAAGGTCATGAGTTCAATGCCTGGGTGTCCTGACAGCCACTAGCTGTGTGACCCGAGGTCAACTTCTCACACTCAGTTTCTCTGTCTTCAAAGAGTAGTGGTGATGTTAGGACTTGCCTCTGGGGTTCTTTGTGAGCATTAGTGGAGCTTAAGCATGGGCATCATTTGGAAGAAAGCCTTCCCTATGTTTCAGCACACAGGGAGGGCCAGTAAACGAGAGACCACGGGATACACTCTAGACTGTCTTCGTAAGCCTTGGGAAGAAAAGGAGTTTTTGAACTCCACTTCCAATTTCAAACCAAGTATGGGGTTTTCTTCCCTTTTCTTTACACTCACAAAAGTGGCCAATGCAGAGAACCTTTTTGTGCAGCACTTATCCAGTGAACAGGTTCACAGACAGCTAAGGGCAAATAATCAATCTGATATCAATAGCCTCTCTAGTCTGCTCCATGGGTAGTTTCTATGAGACCACATTATTAGGAAGCAAGGCAGGTGCAATAAACCCTGTTCCTGTCCCTTCTTAGTGGCTTCAGTGCTGTACCCACAGCTGCAATGCTGCCTGAAAGGCTCGGAGAAAAGACTGTAATTAGCTCCTATTTTTATCTTAGATTCCCCCGCCCCAGGAGAACAGCAAATGTCAAATGTCCTAATATTAGATACCAAAGTCTGTTTAAATCTTTTGTGTCTGTCCTAATGCAAGCTGTAGACAGCATTTCCTTTTTTCTCCTTGTCAGGAAAGCAGAGAGAGGGGAGAGGGGGATGGAGGGAGGTAGGGAGGGAGAGAGAGAGTGTGTGTGAGAGAGAGAGACAGACAGACAGACAGAGACAGAGAAAGAGACAGACAGACACAGACAGACAGAAAAGTAAGAGAGAGGAGCTACAGGGGAGGACAAGGAAGAAGGCAGGGGAGATGAGAAAGAAACATACAGGGTTTTGTTAATCTGCCTTTTAGTCTTAAAAGCTTAAGAAACCCTGTCTCAAAAAAACCAAAGCCAAAAAAGAAAAAAGAAAAAGCTTAAGTTGTCAAGTAAACATCTACCATCACTTTTAGAAACTCACTGCTGCCTAGGTAACTGCATAGAGAGGCATGGATGAGTCTCCTAGCCCTGCGTGTCATGAAATGGTTGCTGGTCCAGTCAGTGAGTAGCCAGGCATTGTGAGATAAATATTGTACCCAATTCATCTATATTTGCGACCTAGAATCTATGCTCATTACCCTATGTGTTGAAAGTGTTAATAGCGTTTTGTTTGGTAAAACATACTCTTAAAGGGAGGAGCTCATTCCAGGTTATCCTCAGGAGGACAATGGGCTCTAGACGAAGTCATGTGTCAGTGAGATTATAATCAGAGGGAAGTATGCATTTCCCATGAGGCAGACACTGGCGAACTGTGGCCATGAGCCACGGATGCCAAGAGTGTCTCTCTGGGGGTGGGGTGGGGCCTGAATTTCAGGCTCGTTCTCTTGTTTCTAAGCCTTCCAGTTTGAGGAAACTTATGGTAGTATAGTCGGAACACTAATATAATGAGTACTCCTAAACTTGAAACCAAGCAGGGATTTCTGTCCTCCTGACCATGGGGACACATGATTTGCCCTTGGTGTTGATGAGGATGGGAACCTTCCCTGGGTCTGGCCAAGGTGCTTCTTATAGTCCTTGAGATGTGGTGTTCACCTTTGCCTGAGGTACAGGGACTCAAGGAAAGGGCTTTTCCGAGTTAGTTTAGATGAGATTGGATACTCCATAAGCACCTGCCTCTGTCTACCTGCCATGGTATTTATATCACGCCATCTCACACTCAGCTCCTGTGAGTTAGGAGCCACTGTCTCCTGTGCCATTACGAAGCCCACAAGATAGATGAAAACAAGATGAAGTGAATATTGTCCCCAGAAGCCCTCTTTCTCATCCTGTGTTTCCTGCTGAAGTGGCCGATGATGCTCTTTGTCGGAGCACAGATGGAAGAGCTGGGATGTCTTGCATTTTAGCAGAGATTTCTGAATCTGATTCTTCCAATCCTCTCAGTGGTGCAAAGATCCTCAGTAAGGCAGAGGGGGTCAGGCTGCCAAAGGCACATGGGATTATTTCACTCTGACTGCTCAGCATTTTCCAGTAAGAGTGGGAAGAATCTCTGTAGGGTGCGGTTATTCTCAAGATGCTGGGCACATAGTAAGCTCTAAGTACGTGTTGCCTGTTCTCAACCTGCAGTGCTTGGGGGCTGTCTTCAGGTGGGAGAGATTGTCTGAAAAAGCCAAGATGTTTGCCAAGGAGAGTACGTCCCAGGACTGCGGTTCACTCAGCTTTTCAGTGCTTCACTTTTACCATCTGGAAAATGAGGGCAGCACCTACCTCACAGGGTGGCTCTGAGTACCCAGTGTATCCATGGTGCCTGTGCATAGTGCATGCATGTAAGTGATAGACAGATCCATGGAAAGGAAGCTCATGGTGCAAAGAGAGAATTATAGACTAGCACAGAATGGGGTTTTAAAAAAATAGGCACCGGGATCCAGTAATTGGAACAGCTTGTCAGGGGCTTATGGTGGGGTCTATAGGTGGCCTCAGTTGACAGCGCCTTACTTCCAAGGCAGCCAGCCCATGGCTTGTGATCTGCTAAGATGCTGTTAGGATGTAACGTTACGCTGCATCCTCTCCTTCATCAGCACACCAAAGTGTGGCATGTTGGGAACAAAGCTGAGACCTTAGTACAGACTGTTTGACTCCAGTAAATGGGACTCAACAATGTGTTCTTCCTAGAGAAGCTTCAAGGACCAAGTGAGAGAGCAAATTACAAATCTCCTGGCAGAAGGAAGGCTCTGGAGTAGCCATTTCCTAGTTCTGTAAGGGGAAAGAAACCACAAAGCCTAAGCATTTAAAAAAAATCATACAATGGTCTTGTTGTAGTTGTTTTAAGATGAAGAATTCTGTGAGCTGGAAGAAGATGTTGAAGGATGCAGTGAGCTTGAGCAGGCTGGTCCATTCTCTGTAGTTTTCTGTCTGCATGGGGCTATCACCTGGTTAATGAAGGATCTCACTAATAACCCAGAAAACTGTAACAATTACTTATGCCAGAATCTGTCCTAGTCTGTCAGCTCTGTTCATTGACTTGCTAGTCCTCACACCAATAAACTGGCTGCTTGTCTCTTGAGTTTTTATATAATACCTTCTGAATGGGGCTGTGTTTGGCCATTTTTTTGTGTTAACGTATTTACCAGCTCACTTCACACATGCTGATGAAAGGCTGGAGAACTGATCTCATTGTCTATCTTAGTTGCAGTCTCATTGCCCTCATAAAACACCCCAACAAAGGCAGCTTGAGGGAGAAAGGGCTGATTCTGGCACCGGGTTAAGATTCAGTACAGGGACTCACGGCGGGGACACCCTGGCAGCAGGCATGTGAGGCGATTGGTCACATTATATCTGCTGTCAGGAAGCGGAGAACCATGAATCCCGAAACTCAGCTCTCTCTCCTTTTCACACGGTGCAGAAAAGCCCAGGGGACTTCACATCTCAATTAATAGAATCAAATTCTTGGGGGTGTGCGTGTGTCTTAGGAGATTCTAGATATGTTAATTACCCATCTTACTGTCCCCTCCCCAGTGCTGGCTACCTCACAGGCCACATGTGATTCTCAGAAAAGTACTCTGTTTTGGAGACCAGATGTAACCAGGACTCTTCGGATGCAGCCAGTTGACAGGCTTGTCAAATATGTGGCTACAGGACCTACTCTCTAAGCCCTGGTGACATTATTTCAACAACTGCTGATGAACTACCGGCATTTATGGAAGTTCTGCGTTTGAACTCTAAGTTTGCAAGGGCTGTCATAACAGTGGAAGAAACACTGTCGGTCATAACAGACTGGAAGAAACAGAAAAATATGTATTTCCCCACAATTCAGCAGGCCAGAGGTCCCAGGCATCTACATGCTGATTCTTCCTGAGCCTCTCTCCTTGGGTGGCAGATGACTGATTTGTCCCCATGTCCTTGCTTACATCATTTTTCTTTTCTGGGTTAGTTTTTCTTTTACCTTTAAAAAAAAACCATACCATTTATAACATATGTTCACTGGTATTCTAGCCCAAGGGCTAACTTATAAAATAAATAGGACATATAAAATGAGACTACAGTGTAGAAAACAATCCATGTTCTTATACTCAGCAAACTTATACTAAAATAATTTGGCTTCTTATATTTTCCAGGGTAAAGTCCATTAGAATTACACATATTAACACGGCTCCTTCTTCTGTAGGCACTTACAGTGTTTGCACCATTCAACTCTCTACTATAAGGAGGCTTTGCCACAATGACCAGAGGCCAGATCACTATCAGAATAGCTGGTGGGTGCTAGATCTCAAAAATGTTTTCTGAAAGCTATTGAATGGTCCTCAAAACTATTTCAGTTAAAAAAAACTGAGAGTGGACAGGGGCGGGAGAGATAGATCAGTGGTTGGGAGCCCTTACTGATTTTGCAGAGGACCCAAGTTCTGTTCCCAGCACTCACAGTCTCTGGGTATCTGATGCCGCCTTCTGGCCTTCTTGGGCACCTGCACTTATGTGCACATACACACA